AAACACGTTACGAAGCGACACAACGGAACTGATAAACGCTCACCACTTTAGCAACAATAACTCTTGCTGTGTATAAGCGTTATAAATTGCTTACGGGTTATTCCAGCGAACGTTTCAAATGACTAAACAGATATTTCGTAGAACGTAGACACCCCGCTCTCAAATGCCAATTCCCCAGGGGGCCTGAGTTCACACAAAATGACTAGAGTTAGTTTTGAGGGCGCGTGAGTTATTCTATCATAGACATCGAGAACCAAAGACACATGTAATGCTTTACCCTACGTCAATAGATGATACGAAGATCACCTATTGCAAACAAGGCGGGATTATTTAATTGCAGTTACTTCGGCACCATGAAACGTGTCAACGAAAAACTGCGACGGCTTGGTGTGGATACTAACGAATGCTATCCCGTGAATAAGGCCACCAGAGGAAGATTCAACGATTGGCATTTAGGACTACCATTTCACTGTGAATTCATCGGATTATTTGCACGGGCAAGTATCTTACAACATAATAAATGCCCTTTTTACCTATAGACAAGCAATAAATAAATTAAAAAACTTTCAAGATGTCGACTCAGTGTTCGCTTGTTTCGGAACATATACTACATCATCAGCAACTCCCGGCGGGTGGGTTCCGCATGTGACTCATTAAGGCAGCTTTCGGAGGAATTTGTAGCCAAGCTATCCGACTCTACACTACCCGGTCCTGATTAGTTATACTTTAATCGACTTACCCTTAACGATACACGAAAAGATAACAGAAACATGACCAGCCAGTTCAAATAAAGCCTCGTGATCATAAAAACCAGACTCCTTCTAGAATTGGCCTTAAATACAGGCATGAATCCTCGAAATAGACTAAAATATAATATTTATAGCACAGCGTCGCCAGCCCACAAATGTCAGTACTAAATATGTCAAAGGATAGAGTTTCAGTGGTCTTACGGCACGGGTATTCGGCGTTTTGTACATTTGCCGCGGTTGACAGTAACAGCAATAAGTCATTTGACCAGAAGCCGCTAGACATTTGCCTTCATTAATGTAGCGGATGTGAAGAGAAACCACGATCACGCTTTACAAGATCCAAGTGAACGTCGCGTAAACGACTCCGAGAGACGTCTTCTACCATCTTAACCGACTAAGCACCTTTAGTTGGTTGCTCAAAGGGACCTGAACTCGGGCGAAAATGTTTATAAGTGGGCAAGAATTGCACCGAAGGTAGAGTTCGAAGTTCTGAAAGCGTCTCAGCAGAGCAGGCTTAATAAAAGTCTGTGACAAAATATTACCCGGAAACCATGCCCAGAAGACTTCTCGGAAGCGTTCGAAACAGAAAAAGCACAAACGAAAGACGTGATCACCGAAGCTCTTCGAACACGTGAAAATTACAAAGAAGCCTGAGCCACTCACTCAGTTACAAACACACCAAAGGAGCAATGATCAATTTATATACATCTGGGATCGGTATTGCTCTGCACGATGGTGCGGCTAAATCAGTAAGCTCGATAAGTAGTCAGGCAAAAACAGGTCGGGTAAAAACTGAAACTTCACAGGGGCCGAAAAAGCTGGGGCATTCGGAAGTAGGATGGTACATAATTCAGCACTGATGTAGAAGTCGAGCTTATATTAGTCATTTTATAGAGTAATGTATGGTGCGTAATGTCGATGCCAAATCCACGGTTTTCCAAGTATTCCGTGGGAGATGCAAGCGTCCTGGAAAACAAACAATTCAGTGGAACTAAGTTGTTGTCCCATCTGGAATATTAGCCCTAACAGCTTCCGAAATCCTCTTTTTAACATCCTGGCTATATACCTTTTTGGTGAGAAATCCAGTCAACTGTAGACGGGAAAGCGTGATTGCCCGAGGCCACAGGAGTGTTGCCTGTGGGGCCTGAAGCGTTACCCTGTTCACCAGATGGCGCTGCATGCCCCTTTTCGTGTTCCCGGCTGTCGGTATTGGTACGGACG